GCTGAGAAGTATCGTTCAGAAGTTTCATTTTCGAGCAGAAGTGTTGTGCAGAAGTGTCGCCCAAAAGTATCGATCATGTGGTTCAGAAGTGTTGCTCAAAACTGTCGATCAGAAGTGTCGATGTCGATCAGCAGTGTCGATCAATAGCGCAGATCAAAAGTGTTGCTCAGAAGTGTCGCTCTGAAGTATATCGATCAGAAGTGTTGATCGATCAGAAGTGTGAATCAGAAGTGTGTGTCTCAAATGTCGATCAGAAGTGTCGATCAAAGGTGTTGCTCAGAAGTGTTGCTCCGAAATGTCCCGAAGCGTTGTCAGACGTGTTGCTCAGAAGTGTCGATCAGAAGTGTTGCTCGGAAGTGTCCCTCAGAAGTGTTGCGCAGAAGTGTCGCTCTGAAGTATATCGATCAGAAGTGTTGATCGATCAGAAGTGTGAATCAGAAGTGTGTGTCTCCAATGTCGATCAGAAGTGTCGATCAAACGTGTTGCTCAGAAGTGTTGCTCCGAAGTGTCCCGAAGCGTTGTCAGACGTGTTGCTCAGAAGTGTCGATCAGAAGTGTTGCTCGGAAGTGTCCCTCAGAAGTGTTGCGCAGAAGTGTCGCTCTGAAGTATATCGATCAGAAGTGTTGATCGATCAGAAGTGTGAATCAGAAGTGTGTGTCTCAAATGTCGATCAGAAGTGTCGATCAAAAGTGTTGCTCAGAAGTGTTGCTCCGAAGTGTCCCGAAGCGTTGTCAGACGTGTTGCTCAGAAGTGTCGATCAGAAGTGTTGCTCGGAAGTGTCTTTCAGAAGTGTTGCGCAGAAGTGTCGCTCTGAAGTATATCGATCAGAAGTGTTGATCGATAAGTGTGAATCAGAAGTGTCGGTCTGAAGTATATCGATCAGAAGTGTTGATCGAGCAGAAGTGTGAATCAGAAGTGTGTGTGTGTCTCAAATGTCGATCAGACGTGTCGATCAAAAGTGTTGCTCAGAAGTGTTGCTCCGAAGTGTCCCGAAGCGTTGTCAGACGTGTTGCTCAGTGTCAGAAGTGTTGCTCGAAGTGTGAAGTGTTGCGCAGATGTCGCTCTGAGTAAATCCATCAGAAGTTTGATCGGTCAGAAGTGTGAATCAGAAGTCGTCGAGAGTGTCGATCAAAAGTCAGAAGTGTTGCTCCGAAGTGTCCCCGAAGCTTGTCAGACTGTTGCTCAGAAGTGTCGATCAGAAGTGTTGCTCGGAAGTGTCTTTCAGAAGTGTTGCGCAGAAGTGTCGCTCTGAAGTATATCGATCAGAAGTGTTGATCGATAAGTGTGAATCAGAAGTGTCGCTCTGAAGTATATCGATCAGAAGTGTTGATCGAGCAGAAGTGTGAATCAGAAGTGTGTGTGTGTCTCAAATGTCGATCAGAAGTGTCGATCAAAAGTGTTGCTCAGAAGTGTTGCTCCGAAGTGTCCCGAAGCGTTGTCAGACGTGTTGCTCAGAAGTGTCGATTAGAAGTGTTGCTCGGAAGTGTCCCTCAGAAGTGTTGCGCAGAAGTGTCGCTCTGAAGTAAATCCATCAGAAGTGTTGATCGGTCAGAAGTGTGAATCAGAAGTGTGTGTCTCAAATGTCGATCAGAAGTGTCGATCAAAAGTGTTGATCAGAAGTGTTGCTCCGAAGTGTCCCGAAGCGTTGTCAGACGTGTTGCTCAGAAGTGTCGATCAGAAGTGTTGCTCGGAAGTGTCTTTCAGAAGTGTTGCGCAGAAGTGTCGCTCTGAAGTATATCGATCAGAAGCGTTGATCGATCAGAAGTGTGAATCAGAAGTGTGTGTCTCAAATGTCGGTCAGAGGTGTCGATCAAAGTGTTGCTCAGAAGTGTTGCTCCGAAGTGTCCCTCAGAAGCGTTGTCAGACGTGTTGCTCAGACGTGTCGCTGAGTCATGTGTGTAGAAATGTCGCGCGAATTGTCGCTCAGGAGTGCCGCACTGTGTTGCCCAAAAATGTTGTTCAGAGGTGGCGCTCGAGGGTGTCGTTCAGAAGTGTCGCCTCCAGAGCGTCGCTTACATGTATGTGTGTGTGTATTTGCCCAGGAGTGTTGCTCGGAAGTGGTGATCAGAAGCAGAACTGTCGATGAGAGGTGTTGGTCAGAGGTATCGACCAGCAGTGTCCAAATCAGCAGTGTTGCTCACGTGCGTCAGAAGTGCCGAAGTGTTGCTCAGAACTGTCGATCAGAAGTGTGGATCAGAAGTGTTGCTCAGAAGTGTCGCTCTCAGAAGCGTTGCTCAGAAGTGTCGCGATGAGCAGTGTGCATCAGAAGTGTTGATCAGAAGTGTTATTCAGCAGTGTTGCGCAGAAGTGTCCCTCAGAAGTGTTGCGCAGACGTGTCGCTCTGAAGTATCGATCAGAAGTGTGGATCAGAAGCATCGATCAGAAGTGTTGCTCAGAACTGTCGATCAGAGGTGTCGGTCAGACAGCAGTGTCGAATCAGCAGCATTGCTCTGAAGAGTGCGTCAGAAGTGTCGGTCAGAAGTGTTGCTTGAAGTGTCGATCAGCAGCGTCGATCAGAAGTGTTGCTCGGACGTGGTGATCAGAAGCAGAAGTCTCGATCAGAAGTGTTGCTCAGAAGTGTCGCTCAGAAGTGTCAATTCAGCAGCAGTGTTGCTCAGAAGTGTCGCTCAGAAGTGTCGATGAGCAGTGTGGATCAGAAGTGTTGCTCAGAACTGTCGATCAGAAGTGTGGATGAGAAGTGCCGACTTGAAGTGTGGATCAGAGGCGCCCATCAGAAGTGTCGATCAGGAATGTTGGTCAGAAGTGTCGATCAGAAGTGTCACTCAGAAGTGTTGCTCGGAAGTGTCGGTCGGAAGTGTTGCTCAGAAGTGTTGCTCGGAAGTGTCGGTCGGAAGTGTTGCTCAGAAGTGTTGCTCAGAAGTGTTGCTCGGAAGTGTCGATCAGCAGTGTTTGACAGACATGTCGCTCAGAACTGTCGATCCGAAGTGTGGATCAGAAGTGCAGATGCAAAGTGTTGCTCAGAAGTGTCAATCAGAAAGAAGTGTCGATCAGCAAAAGTGTCGCTCAGAAGTGTTGGTCACAAGTACCGCTCAAAAGTGTCGCTCGGAAGTATCAATCAAAAGTGTTGCGTAGAAGTGTTGCTCTGAAGTCTAGTACGCGCTGGAAATTCGCAACATTGTAGCACAAATCAGTGCGCGAAGTACAGGTTTCCAGCTGTAGCTGGACAATCGCAACTTTGTAGCACAAGTATGGTACGCTTCAAAATTGTGATTTTCCAGAGACCTGTACTTCGCGCACTAGACTTGTACTACAAAGTTGCGATTTTCGAGCTGGAGCTGCTTCTGCAAACCTGTATATCGCGGGCTAGACTTGTGCTACAAAGTCGCGATTTCCCAGCTAGAGCTGGAAACCTGTACTTCGTGCAAGTCTAGCGCACAAAGTACAGGTTTCCAGCTCCACCTCGAAAATCGCAACTTTGTAGTACAAGTCGCCCGCGATATACAGGTTTACAGCTCTAGCTGAGAAATCGTAACTTTGTAGCACCAGTCTAGTACGGAAAGTACAGGTTTCAAGCTCCAGCTGGAAAATCGCGACCACAGGCTTCCAGCTCTAGCTGAGAAATCACAACGTTGTAGTACCAGTCCAGCACGAGAAGTCCAGCTCTAGCTGGAAAATCACAACCTCGTAGTACAAGTCTAGTACTCGAACTACAGGTTTTCAGCTCAAGCTGAAAATCGCAACTTTTGTAGTACAAGTCTGGCGCGCGAAGCACCGGTTTCCAGCTCTCGATCAAAAATCGCAACTTTGTAGCACAAGTCTAGTGTGCTCGAAAATCGCAACTTTGTAGCACAAGTATAGCACGCAATCGCAAGATTGAAGTACAAGTCTAGTGCGGCGCGAAGTTCAGGTTCCAGCTCTGGCTGGAAATCGCAACTTTGAAGTGCAAGTATAGTACTTTCAGCTCTAGCTGAAGAATCGCAACTCTGTATCGCAAGTGTGGTACACCAAGTACAGGTTTCCAGCTCCGGCTGGACAATCGCAACTGTGTAGCGCGAGTCTAGCGCGCGAAGTACAGTTTTCCAGCTCCGGCGGGAAATCGCAACTTTGTAGTACAAGTCTAGTGCGCGAAGTGCAGCTGTCCAGCTCCATTCCGAAAATCGTAACCTCGTAGCAACAAGTCGAGTACGCAAAGTTAAGTTTTACAAGCTGAAAAATAGTAGTTTGCGCAGTTGACTTGATTGCGAGCCCCATTGGCTTATGCCGAAACATGTTCTCTCTAATTGTTTCTTGGGTTTGCGCAAAGTGATGTGCATTGGGGTTCGTGGGCTCTGTCTTTTTCTCATCTTTTTCCAGAAGCATTGGGAAACAAATCGGCAACAAATCGGCTGAGACTGAGACGTGGGAGGCCGATATGCCTCGCTTGCTGGGCTCGCATGCGAAGGCCTAAGCTGCACTGAAACAGAGAGTGTTTGCTGGCGTGTCAAAGCTTGGATCTTGATGTGCGTGGCGCAGAGGCGGCTCGAGCCTCTTCACCCCCACAAGCCTTTTCACATGTGGGGCTCACAAAATATGGCCCCTTTGTTGGTCTCATTTTTTTAGGCGGGTTCGCATTACCTTAGGGTACCAGATGGGCTCCTTTTTTAATAGCCCCCACATCACTTGTGATGAAAGGTCGAGCAAAGACTGCGCCATCTGTAGATCTCCCTGATGAGTTCAAAGAGCTGGCGAAGCAGCATGTACCTTGCATGTGATGTCAGCAAAGCCCCCGGCTTGAAGAAAGTACGGATTGGTAGCAGGCTTAGGCAGACACGCAGCGCAACATGCCCCACACGCACACAATCACACACAGGCACGTGTAGGGCACCAGCTGTGCAACGACGGTAGAGTGGCAAACAGCATGCAGCGCAGACAGTCGTGATCTCTCCAACGATCATTCTGTGCTACAGACTGCCTTTTTTTTTTTTTTTTTTTTTTTTTTTTTTTTTTTTTTTTTTTTTTTTTTTTTTTTTTTTTTTTTTTTTTTTTTTTTTTATAATGTAGCGTTGCTGAATGTAGAGCTCGCCTATGGCCATGTGGCGAGATGAAGCCAACAAGCTTGCGAGGTGCTACCCTCAGTTGTAGTGTCAGTGAGATTGCTGAATAAGAGCAGTACCATACGTTTTAGCAAGCGCAAGGTAGCAAGCGCAAGGGCCATTTGGTTTCAATCTTGCAGGGCCATGTCGTTGTCACGCCCACGTGCTCCGTCTTACTCAGGCGCTTGAACCCCGATTCAGCTGGCGAGAAGCTCTTGCTGTTTGACAAGGGGGATGAAGAGCAGTGCGCACTCAGTCCTGAATTGGACGTCAAGCTACACTGGCAAGTCGCAAGACGAGGCGGCTAAGAGGTTCGTGGAGGATCCAGAAGTGAAGAGAGAGATTGATAATCTTGGGCCCTCCAAGAGGAAAAGGAAGATGTTGGCGCATGAGGCCCTGCCAAAAGTGTTTTCAACTCCATTTGCCCTTGATGTGCGTGGGCGGGGCCATGCGAAGTTACATGGGCGGCCCAAGCGCTGCCGAAAGAAGTGTCTATGCGGAAAAGCGCCGTGCTACAGCTGAGCAGAGCTGTGAGGAAGTGCTGGCGCTTCCATGTGCTTGTGGTCACCGCCTCAAAACGTCAACACCTCGTGGAACCCCCACGGGCTGTTGAAAACAGCTGCAACGCACCTTGCAACGCATGTTGAGTGTCTAAGGCCAAGATGTCGGGCATTTCACGTGTTCTTGCGGCCTCCCAGGATTTCACCAAGAAGGTGTTGACCAAGGAAGCGGAGGCGGCCGGGCTTCAGGCCATTTTGCCATGAACTTTCAAGAGCACAACCCAGGGAATCAACATCACGGATGGTGTTGGCAGGCCCTCAGACGCCATTGTGTGATGTTTCGCAGGTTTCGTTTGCTCGAATGTGGTCTGTTTGTGTCGCGCTAGAGCCAACCACAGCAGTTGCCCCTGCCCAGTGCTTGATTGAATACTTGACTTTGTACGTCGTAGATTTGGTCACAGAGCTGCGTGTTGCGTTCCCAACAGCAGCCCTGCAAGGGTGCTTGTTGAAATTGGTCGGATTTCCGCAAAAGCTGGGGAGTACGGGTGCCTATGAGGCAACCATAGTTCTCCTCATGTCATGAACGCTCCAGAGAGCAGTTCCCAGATAAACGCTACCCCGGGGCAGAGGTGGGCACTTTCACCTGGCAACAGCAGAGTTCTGTGTGGACAGGCTCACGCGAAGATGATCATCGAGATACGCAAGCAAGTGTACGCCAAAGTGGCGCTCAAGGACGAAGGCGTGCTATCCCTGTTCACCGACTGTCAGACCACCAACGAGAACTTCCCGGCGTTCACTTTTGACGGAGTAAGCCCTCACCAAAGATTTGTTGGACGCGATTTTTGGTGGTACACATTTTCCGACTCCTCACCCACTATGGGAAACGCAATTTTTTTTCCCCTGGGATGTTTCTCAACATGAGGGAGTTTGAAAAGACTGATTTCCCTTTGAAACCAACCCAAAAGGCCCCCCTCAATCCCTTTCGTGATGCACATCCGACGATCGATGGGTGTGTGTGTGTGTGTGGTTGCGTGCGTGTGTGTGATGAGTTTAATAGCCATGTCATGAAGTTTAAGCCAGGGCGCCATCAGTCCTCCGTGAGACTGTGTGACAAGTCTATGTAGCATCGCAAATTGGGGAAGCTTCATCAGTGGCTGGTTTCCTCACCCACTTTAAAGGAGGCCATATATTAAGACACCCATGTGCATTTTCCGCAGGCGGAGCGGTGGGGCTTTTCGCAAAGGATGAAAAGGGTTACATGCACGGAGGCATGCAGAACGACTTCGTGCGGGAGAATCACAACATGGAGGATGGGGGTCAGAGATTCGATGAGAAGTGTCCTTTCGCCTCAACGTGCTCGTTTTCCAGAGTGGGCCGAAACATCTTGATCTTTTGTTGCCAGGACGCGTACCTTCAAAGCGGCGATGAGTGGTGGCATGAATGGTATCTCCATCACCTGTTGGTCGACCAGGCAGAGGCAACCTGGGGGAGTAGTTGTTGAGTTGCATGGAACGACTTGTTCCAAACATGGAGGAGGGGGGTCAGAGATTCGATGAGAAGTGTCCTTTCGCCTCAACGTGCTCGTTTTCCAGAGTGGGCCGAAACATCTTGATCTTTTGTTGCCAGGACGCGTACCTTCAAAGCGGCGATGAGTGGTGGCATGAATGGTATCTCCATCACCTGTTGGTCGACCAGGCAGAGGCAACCTGGGGGAGTAGTTGTTGAGTTGCATGGAACGACTTGTTCCAAACATGGAGGGGGGAGGTCAGAGATTCGATGAGAAGTGTCCTTTCGCCTCAACGTGCTCGTTTTCCAGAGTGGGCCGAAACATCTTGATCTTTTGTTGCCAGGACGCGTACCTTCAAAGCGGCGATGAGTGGTGGCATGAATGGTATCTCCATCACCTGTTGGTCGACCAGGCAGAGGCAACCTGGGGGAGTAGTTGTTGAGTTGCATGGAACGACTTGTTCCAAACATGGAGGAGGGGGGTCAGAGATTCGATGAGAAGTGTCCTTTCGCCTCAACGTGCTCGTTTTCCAGAGTGGGCCGAAACATCTCGATCTTTTGTTGCCAGGACGCGTACCTTCAATGCGGCGATTGAACACCTTGCTTTGTACGTCGTATATCGGGTCACAGAGCTGTGTGTTGCGTTCCCAACAGCAGCCCTGCAAGGGTGCTTGTTGAAATTGGTCGGATTTCCGCAAGAGCTGGGTGCCTATCACTCAAAGATAGTTCTCCTCATGTCATGAACGCTCCAGAGAGCAGTTCCAAGATAAACGCTACCCCGGGGCAGAGGTGGGCACTTTCACCTGGCAACAGCAGAGTTCTGTGTGGACAGGCTCACGCGAAGATGATCATCGAGATACGCAAGCAAGTGTACGCCAAAGTGGCGCTCAAGGACGAAGGCGTGCTATCCCTGTTCACCGACTGTCAGACCACCAACGAGAACTTCCCGGCGTTCACTTTTGACGGAGTAAGCCCTAGCAGTCTGAGGTCACCAAAGATTTGTTGGACGCGATTTTTGGTGGTACACATTTTCCGACTCCTCACCCACTATGGGAAACGCAAGTTTTTTCCCCTGGGATGTTTCTCAACATGAGGGAGTTTGAAAAGTGATTTGTTTTTCATACTGATTTCCCTTTGAAACCAACCCAAAAGGCCCCCCTCAATCCCTTTCGTGATGCACATCCGACGATCGATGGGTGTGTGTGTGTGGTTGCGTGCGTGTGTGTGATGAGTTTAATAGCCATGTCATGAAGTTTAAGCCAGGGCGCCATCAGTCCTCCATGAGACTGTGTGACAAGTCTATGTAGCATCGCAAATTGGGGAAGCTTCATCAGTGGCTGGTTTCCTCAGTACCTTGTAAAACCCACTTTAAAGGAGGCCATATATTAAGACACCCATGTGCATTTTCCGCAGGCGGAGCGGTGGGGCTTTTCGCAAAGCATGAAAAGGGTTACATGCATGGAGGCATGCAGAACGACTTCGTGCGGGAGAATCACAACATGGAGGATGGGGGTCAGAGATTCGATGAGAAGTGTCCTTTCGTCAACGTGCTCGTTTTCCAGAGTGGGCCGAACATTTGTTGGGGACTTTGCGATCCGTTTGACACGAAGGCCGTCATAGGCCAGGGGCGGCGCAGGCCCCTTTTATCGGTCTTGGTCTATCCAATGCAATCATAAGTTGGACAAAGGGCAAATTTTGTGTTGTGCTTGGGCTAGAGAGGTCCGGGAGTATTCGCAGGTTGTGACCCCTGGAAAGACACGTGTAGGCTGACGGATCTGTTTTTGGGAAAATTTGGAAGCATGGGTCAGAGTGGCTTGGTATTGGCTGAGTTTGAGGTAATGTCAACACCCGATGAATCAGGGGTCGTGGAATAAAACTCAAAGTGTTTTTCCGTATTCTGGTTTGCCACCATTGTTGATGGGGACCAGAATATCTGAAAGTTTTTTTGCCGGGGGAGGGGGGGGTAATTTCCAAAAAATATATATCCACAAATCAATTAAAAGTTGCAAGCCCCCAGCCCCCTCCAGAAAACAAACTGTCAGTTGCTTTCCTCAAAAGCATTCCCCTTTTAATTGGTGGCCCACTTTCTTAAAAGCACTCCCCTTTTAATTGGTCGCCCACTTGCTTAAAAGCATTCCCCTTTTAATTGGTTGCTCAAACACAAAAAAATGAAAGCCAGCTGAAACCTCTGAAATTTGAAAACCATCCCCAGCCCTGAAATTGCAAATTCTTTATTAAGCCGTGTTTAAAAAATGAAAAACACAATCAGGACAAGGGTACCCCTCACACACTCCACTGAACCACCCCAATGGCATCTTTAGGGGGACCACATTAGTTGCAAGCCCCAAGCCCCCTCCAGAAAATAAACTGTCAGTTGCTTTACTCAAAAGCATTCCCCTTTAAATTGGTGGCCCGCTTGCTTAAAAGCATTCCCCTTTCAATCGGTCGCCCACTTGCTTAAAAGCATTCCCCTTTCAATTGGTGGCCCACTTGCTTAAAAGCATTCCCCTTTCAATTGGTTTCTGTCTAGCTCAAGCCCTCCCTGGCTGAAAGGCACACCGTTTGAATGGCTACTAACGTAATTAGTATTCCAAAAAGTATGCTCAGGAAGAAGTGGTTGCAATACTAAAGTAGAATTGCAAAAAGGAAGTGGCTGCAATACTGAAGAAGGATTGCAAAAAGGAAGTGGTTGCAATACTAGCAAAAAGAAGTGGCTGCAATACTAAAGTAGAGTTGCAAAAAGGAAGTGGCTGCAATACTAAAGTAGAATTGCACAAAGGAAGTGGCTGCAATACTAAAGTCGAATTGCAAAAAGGAAGTGGCTGCAATACTAAAGTAGAGTTGCAAAAAGGAAGTGGCTGCAATACTAAAGTAGAATTGCACAAAGGAAGTGGCTGCAATACTAAAGTCGAATTGCAAAAAGGAAGTGGCTGCAATACTAAAGTAGAATTGCAAAAAGGAAGTGGCTGCAATGCTAAAGTAGAATTGCAAAAAGGAAGCCTACTTTCTTCCAGCGCCTCCATTGTTCAGGGGGGGGGCCTTTATTAATCAAGTGCCAACATTATTGTTGTTTGTACAGCCCAAGTGCTGGAAAACCACGCCTCCACGCGAACTGAACGCTTTTTTGAGCGGTAGGTTGGGACAGGCTGGATGCCAAGAGACGTTCACCGTCCAGTGCATAGGTAGCTGTTGGTTTCCTTTTGAAACCAAAGGGCGGTTCATTTTCAGCGAGTTGGGCAGCGCCCTCGTGCGTTGAAAGCCGGTGTGTTGAATCCGCTACATCTTGCAGCTTAGCGCTACCCAACACAATGCAGCAAACTCGTATGATTAACTACAGCGTCCCTGCAGCAATGGAGTATGATTGGAGTCTTACGTTGTTGCGTGCTTTGAGCAAGCACCAAACACTTGGAGAGACTAGCCTGGTAAAGGGGTAAAATAGAAGTAGATGGCACCTTGTTGATGAGGTGAGCTGGGCCCTGCAAAACCTTGGGCCCTGCAAAAACTCACAGCTATAAAGGAACCGACCCGCCACTGCGGTGTACACAGACTGCTTGGCTTGACTATGAGGGCAGCCCTCGTTTGGCTTCTCTCAAAGGGCTCGGCGCATGGATAACTTCCCACGAGCATGAAACCCGATAGGGCTGCTGTTGCTTTGCTGTTTGTTCCCGAATTCGTAGCGAAGGGTTCGCGTTTATAGTGTGGGGATCTGGGGTTGGACCCTTGTGCGCGTCGGTTGATCGTTGGTTTGCGCAAAGTGATGTGCATTGGGGTTCGTGGGCTCTGTCTTTTTCTCATCTTTTTCCAGAAGCATTGGGAAACAAATCGGCAACAAATCGGCTGAGACTGAGACGTGGGAGGCCGATATGCCTCGCTTGCTGGGCTCGCATGCGAAGGCCTAAGCTGCACTGAAACAGAGAGTGTTTGCTGGCGTGTCAAAGCTTGGATCTTGATGTGCGTGGCGCAGAGGCGGCTCGAGCCTCTTCACCCCCACAAGCCTTTTCACATGTGGGGCTCACAAAATATGGCCCCTTTGTTGGTCTCATTTTTTTAGGCGGGTTCGCATTACCTTAGGGTACCAGATGGGCTCCTTTTTTAATAGCCCCCACATCACTTGTGATGAAAGGTCGAGCAAAGACTGCGCCATCTGTAGATCTCCCTGATGAGTTCAAAGAGCTGGCGAAGCAGCATGTACCTTGCATGTGATGTCAGCAAAGCCCCCTGCTTGAAGAAAGTACGGATTGGTAGCAGGCTTAGGCAGACACGCAGCGCAACATGCCCCACACGCACACAATCACACACAGGCACGTGTAGGGCACCGGCTGTGCAACGACGGAAGAGTGGCAAACAGCATGCAGCGCAGACAGTCGTGATCTCTCCAACGATCATTTTGTGCTACAGACTGCGGTAAGTTTTTTTTTTTTTTTTTTTTTTTTTAAATTTTATGTAGCGTTGCTGAATGTAGAGCTCGCCTATGGCCATGTGGCGAGATGAAGCCAACAAGCTTGCGAGGTGCTGTAGTGTCAGTGAGATTGCTGAATAAGCGCAGTACCATACGTTTTAGCAAGCGCAAGGTAGCAAGCGCAAGGGCCATTTGGTTTCAATCTTGCAGGACCATGTCGTTGTCACGCCCACGTGCTCCGTCTCACTCAGGCGCTTGAACCCCGATTCAGCTGGCGAGAAGCTCTTGCTGTTTGACAAAAAAGATGAAGAGCAGTGCACACTCACAGTCCTGAATTGGACGTCAAGCTACACTGGCAAGTCGCAAGACGAGGCGGCTAAGAGGTTCGTGGAGGATCCAGAAGTGAAGAGAGAGATTGATAATCTTGGGCCCTCCAAGAGGAAAAAGAAGATGTTGGCGCATGAGGCCCAAACTGCCAAAAGTGTTTTCAACTCCATTTGCCCTTGATGTGCGTGGGCGGGGCCATGCGAAGTTACATGGGCGGCCCAAGCGCTGCCGAAAGAAGTGTCTATGCGGAAAAGCGCCGTGCTACAGCTGAGCAGAGCTGTGAGGAAGTGCTGGCGCTTCCGTGTGCTTGTGGTATGTTGAGTGAGCGACCAGGCCCAGCAACGTGTGAGCCGCCTGCGGTCACCGCCTCAAAACGTCAACACCTCGTGGAACCCCCACGGGCTGTTGAAAACAGCTGCAACACACCTTGCAACGCATGTTGAGTGTCTAAGGCCAAGATGTCGGGCATTTCACGTGTTCTTGCGGCCTCCCAGGATTTCACCAAGAAGGTGTTGACCAAGGAAGCGGAGGCGGCCGGGCTTCAGGCCAGTTTGCCATGAACTTTCAAGAGCACAACCCAGGGAATCAACATCACGGATGGTGTTGGCAGGCCCTCGGAGGCCATTGTGTAATGTTTTGCAGGTTTTTGCTCGAACGTGGTCTGTTTTTGTTGCACTAGAGCCAACCACAGCAGTTGCGCCTGCCAAGTGCTTGATTGAATACTTGACTTTGTACGTCGTAGATTTGGTCACAGAGCTGCGTGTTGCGTTCCCAACAGCAGCCCTGCAAGGGTGCTTGTTGAAATTGGTCGGATTTCCGCAAAAGCTGGGGAGTACGGGTGCCTATGAGGCAACCATAGTTCTCCTCATGTCATGAACGCTCCAGAGAGCAGTTGCCAGATAAACGCTACCCCGGGGCAGAGGTGGGCGCTTTCACCTGGCAACAGCAGAGTTCTGTGTGGACAGGCTCACGCGAAGATGATCATCGAGATACGCAAGCAAGTGTACGCCAAAGTGGCGCTCAAGGACGAAGGCGTGTTATCCCTGTTCACCGACTGTCAGACCACCAACAGTCTGAGGTCACCAAAGATTTGTTGGACGCAATTTTTGCTGGTACACATTTGCAGACTCCTCACCCACTATGGGAACCGCAAGTTTTTCCCCTGGGATGTTTCTCAACATGAGGGAGTTTGAAAAGTGATTGGTTTTTCAAAAGGCCCCCCTCAATCCCCTTCGCGATGCGCATCAGACGATCGATGGCTGTGTGTGTGGTTGCGTGCGTGTGTGTGATGAGTTTAATATTAATAGCCATGTCATGAAGTTTAAGCCAGGGCGCCATCAGTCCTCCATGAGACTGTGTGACAAGTCTATGTGCCGTCGCAAATTAGGGAAGTTCATCAGTGGCTGGTTTCCTCAGTACCTTGTAAAACCCATTTAAAGGAGGGCATAAGTTGAGGCACCCATGTGCATTTTCTGCAGGCGGAGTGGTGGGGCTTTTCGCAAAGGATGAAAAGGGTTCCATGCATGGAGGCATGCAGAACGACTTCGTGCGGGAGAATCACAACATGGAGGAGAGGGGTCAGAGATTCGATGAGAAGTGTTCTTTCGCCTCAACGTGCTCGTTTTCCAGAGTGGGCCGAACATTTGTTGGGGACTTTGCGATCCGTTTTGCTTGCCCTGGAAAGACACGTGTAGGCTGACGGATCTGTTTTTGGGAAAAATTGGAAACATGGGTCGGGTCAGAATGGCTTTGTACTGGCTGAGTTTGAGGTATTGTTGTTTGTACAGCCCAAGTGCTGGATAACCACGCCTCCACGCAAACTGACCACTTGTTTGAGCGGTAGGATGCCAAGAGACAGCTGTTGGTTTCCTTTTGAAACCAAAGGGCGGTTCATTTTCAGCGAGTTGGGCAGCGCCCTCGTGCGTTGAAAGCCGGTGTGTTGAATCCGCTACATCTTGCAGCTTAGCGCTACCCAACACAATGCACACACACACAGGCACGTGTAGGGCACCGGCTGTGCGACGATGGTAGAGTAGCAAACAGCATGCAGCGCAGACAGTCGTGAACTACTGTAACCGAAGGCGTTGGCGAGAAGCTCTTGCTGTTTGACAAGGGGGATGAAGAGCAGTACGCACTCACAGTCCCGAATTGGACTACCAGCTACACTGGCAAGTCGCAAGATGAGGCGGCTGAGAGGTTCGTGAAGGATCCAGAAGTGAAGAGAGAGATTGATCATCGGGGGCCCTCCAAGAGGAAAAGGAAGATGTTGGCGCATGAGGCCCAAACTGCCAAAAGTGTTTTCAACTCCATTTGCCCTTGATGTGCGTGGACGGGGCCATGCGAAGTTACATGGGCGGCCCAAGCGCTGCCGAAAGAAGTGTCTATGCGGAAAAGCGCCGTGCTACAGCTGAGCAGAGCTGTGAGGAAGTGCTGGCGCTTCCGTGTGCTTGTGGTATGTTGAGTGAGCGACCAGGCCCAGCAACGTGTGAGCCGCCTGCGGTCACCGCCTCAAAACGTCAACACCTCGTGGAACCCCCACGGGCTGTTGAAAACAGCTGCAACACACCTTGCAACGCATGTTGAGTGTCTAAGGCCAAGATGTCGGGCATTTCACGTGTTCTTGCGGCCTCCCAGGATTTCACCAAGAAGGTGTTGACCAAGGAAGCGGAGGCGGCCGGGCTTCAGGCCAGTTTGCCATGAACTTTCAAGAGCACAACCCAGCGAATCAACATCCCGGATAATGTTAACAGGCCCTCGAAGGCCATTGTGTAATGTTTTGCAGGTTTTTGCTCGAACGTGGTCTGTTTTTGTTGCACTAGAGCCAACCACAGCAGTTGCGCCTGCCAAGTGCTTGATTGAATACTTGACTTTGTACGTCGTAGATTTGGTCACAGAGCTGCGTGTTGCGTTCCCAACAGCAGCCCTGCAAGGGTGCTTGTTGAAATTGGTCGGATTTCCGCAAAAGCTGGGGAGTACGGGTGCCTATGAGGCAACCATAGTTCTCCTCATGTCATGAACGCTCCAGAGAGCAGTTCCCAGATAAACGCTACCCCGGGGCAGAGGTGGGCGCTTTCACCTGGCAACAGCAGAGTTCTGTGTGGACAGGCTCACGCGAAGATGATCATCGAGATACGCAAGCAAGTGTACGCCAAAGTGGCGCTCAAGGACGAAGGCGTGTTATCCCTGTTCACCGACTGTCAGACCACCAACAGTCTGAGGTCACCAAAGATTTGTTGGACGCAATTTTTGCTGGTACACATTTGCAGACTCCTCACCCACTATGGGAACCGCAAGTTTTTCCCCTGGGATGTTTCTCAACATGAGGGAGTTTGAAAAGTGATTGGTTTTTCAAAAGGCCCCCCTCAATCCCTTTTGCGATGCGCATCAGACGATTGATGGCTGTGTGTGTGTGTGGTTGCGTGCGTGTGTGTGATGAGTTTAATATTCATAGCCATGTCATGAAGTTTAAGCCAGGCGCCATCAGTCCTCCATGAGACTGTGTGACAATGTGGCGTCGCAGATTAGGGAAGCTTCATCAGTGGCTGGTTTCCTCAGTACCTTGTAAAACGTGGTGGGGCTTTTCGCAAAGGATGAGAAGGGTGCCATGCCCGGAGGCATGCGGAACGACTTCGTGCGGGAGAATCACAACATGGAGGAGAGGGGTCAGAGATTCGATGAGAAGTGTTCTTTCGCCTCAACGTGCTCGTTTTCCAGAGTGGGCCGAACATTTGTTGGGGACTTTGCGATCCGTTTTGCTTGGGCTAGAGAGGTCCGGGAGTATTCGCAGGTTGTGACCCCTGGAAAGACACGTGTAGGCTGACGGATCTGTTTTCGGGAAAATTTGGAAACATGGGTCAGAGTGGCTTTTTATCACGGCCTGCCCAAGAGCTTTTCTATCCGTCAATGTCAATCTGTGTGCCTGTCAAAGGCTCCGCTATTTAGCTGCAGGGCAGGCGTCGCCTACTGCCAATCATACGTCCTTGTTTTAACTCCTGCAACAACTGCTGAAAATGTGCTGGCGCATTTGTTCGGGTGACGACGCGGAAATTAGTCCAAAGTTCTACCGACATAACATTTATGTGTCGTCGGCATCAGTTACTACGCCTTGCTCACACGAATGCCACTTTACATGTGGGCCCAGGCAATTTTCTTTGCCACAATTTCTAGGGTCTTCCATGGTGGCTCTCGCGGCACTGTTGGCTAGCTTCATTCTGAGAAGCTGGAAGGCTAGCGAGAGCTAGCCAGCTTTGGCGTCAACGCGCACTTTGCCAGCTTCGGCCACATGCTGAATGGTTCTCCGGAACCACTTTTGAGTCGTCTCGAAATGGGTTGCGGCAGCACTCAGCAAAATGCGTCACTGCCTGGCTTCGGGCTTTCTTGGCTTCTGCATCCGCAATTTGGTTTCCAAGTGTCCCATGATGTCTCTACTGTACCAGTAGAGCCAGCGAAGCTGGTGGACGGAAGTTTCTAAAGCGAGAAGAGTGCCTATAGGAAGAGCTTGGATTGTTTTTTTTGGTTGCGCTCTTTCTTTGTCTCTTTCTGTTTCTTTCTTTCTTTCTTTTCTTTCTTTCTTTCCTTTTCTTTCTCCTCTTCCCGAAGAGTGTATCTTTGGCCTCCACACGCTGTGCACAGCAGAATATCCCAAACTAACAGAAGGAGTCAAAACCTAAGAGTGTATCTTTGGCCTCAAGACACAGTGTGCAAAAGATCAGCGCCCTACCTTTCCCCCATTCGAGTGGCTCCGGCTACAACCCCAAACTGACAGGGGGGAACTAAAAACAGGGGGAGTCAAGACAAGGCGCGTTTGTTTTTTCTATGTCGCTCAAGACCTCTTGGTGGCACCCGGTGACCTGAATTGGCGCACCGGACATGAGCATCAAGGACACGAGTTGCCATGGGCCACGACGGCGCAGGACTTTGTCAAGACTTATCTCTAGCTTTGGACTAGCTCCAAATAGCCTTGCGGTGTTTGGCCACCTGGCTGCAAAGCCAAAGAGCCGCCTTCCGCCAGAGGATAAGCGATCCTAGCTAACGCCCTTTCTAGACGTAGTCGCGAAGCAAGGAAAGGAACCCTCTGCTTGCAATTAATTGGGGTCTTTGGGGCGCCTGCGAACGAGCAGCATTTTCATGTCGCCCACAATCGCGGGAGTCTGTCTCACACACTGAGGCCCGTTTGAAACAAGTTGCCAACATGCCCGCGGAGTTCCGTCTGCCCAGTCCCTAAACATACGCAGTGTGTGCTGTATGGGCGACAGTAGCTCTTCTTCGAAGAAAGTCAAGGCATCCGTCTCTGGCAGAGTCTCGCCAGGGTTGGCAAAGTTTGCTGCCGTCAACCAAAAAGGCAGCTTGGCCATGTTCTCTCTAGCTCGAGCTTCTTGCGCGCAGAGCTGACAAATTAGCTGGTCCTGTTCCAGCCAAGACCGACGAGGCGCCAGCGCAAAGTTCGTCTTTTTGAAGCAGTGCGACTCAAACTTCCCAGGCATGTCGTTCACTGAGACATGGGTGCCAAACCACCCTTTTTTGCAATAGGCGCATGCGCGAAACTCGAGCAACTGCAGAAATGTGTCTACTTCACGCACCTGATGAAAAAACGACATCGCGCGACACTCTGCGTCAGCCCAGAGCTGGCGGGGGCTCTTTGGCATTCTCGGCCTGGGCAACTTATTTCCCAGCTCGGTCTCTGCAGTACGCAGCTTTGGTGCAGTCACGCGCTTGCCACGGGGCATCGTCGCTGTCCCGTGTGTGCAGACTTTGCGCTCTAGGGTTAAGATTGCCGGACCAGGCAGACACTGAACCACATGTATTGAATTAAATTAGTGAAATATAGTGAAATAGTTTGTGAATCAAAATAGTGAATGAAATATTTAGTGAATCAAAATTGTGAATTGGGAAACATGGATTTGCAGATTCGCAAGCCCAATTTAGTGAAAGTTAGTGAATTTTAGTGAATTTTAGTGAATTTTAGTAACATTTAGTGAAATTTAGCGAAATTTATGAAATTCAATGAAATTTTTGAACGAGATTCACTAAATTTCTCTAAATTTCACTAAATTGGATTTGCGAAATTTAGTGATATTTAGTGAAATTTCGTGAAATTTAGTGAGCCTCTTTCTAAAATTTCATTTTTAATTAGGCTCACTAAATTTCACTAAATTTCACCAAATTTCATTAAATTTCACTAAATTTCGCTAATTTTCAATAAATTGGATTTGCAAAATTTAATGAAATTTAGTGAATCTCTTTCTAAAATTTCATTGAATTTAATTAGTTTTGCTAAATTTCACTAAATCTCACTAAATTTCATTAAAATTAGTGAAATTTAGTGAAATATAGTGACATTTAGTGAAGTTTGGTGAAATTTAGTGAAATATATGAAATTCAATGAAATTTTAGAAGGAGATTCACTAAATTTCACTACTGCCGGGGCACGCGCAGCGGCTTGTCCTCGAAGGCGCTCGGCAGCACCTCCTCGCAGGGCAGCTGGAAGCTCACGCTCTTCAGGCCCCTCATGCGCTGGCGCAGGAGCGTCTCCACCTCGGTCCTCGAGTTCCTGCGCTGCGTGCTCTTCACTAAATTGCATTTGCGATATTTAGTGAAATTTAGTGGAATTTAATGAAATTTAGTGAAACTTAATGAAATTTAGTGAAATGTAATGCAGGTTAGTGTTTTTTTGCTTTTCCTAGTCACCTCGCCATGTAGGCGTATGTCCATTCACTATTCCCATTCACTATTCCCATTCACTATTTCCATTCGCAATTGTTTTAATTCACTATTCCCATTCACTATTTCATTTGCTAATTTTCCATAAATAATTTTTTTGATGTTTCCAATCTCTACCTCCCAGCGGCAATCTTAACTCTAGGGCTTGAACCTGCTGCTGCTGCTGCTGCTGCTCAAGAGACAGGTGCTGCCACGGTTTTCGCCGCATGCAAGTTGCCCAGAGCCTCAAGCGACGGCTGGGCATAGGCTATAGGCGCGCAGCTCTTCGGCGTGGCTAGCAAGCCACTCACAAAATGCATCCACTCCAGCATGCAAACGCGTCTGGTCTTCCGGCGTCTTGCGTCAAATGAGAAGGCTGCTGCTGCTCAAGAGACAAATGCTCCCAAGCACGGAGTTTTTTTGTTTTTTTTTCCATCGCAGGGCTTGCTTTCGCCGCGTGCGAATTGCCCAGAGCCTCAAGTGACGGCTGGGCATAGGCACGCAGCTCAGCTCTTCAACGTGGCTACAAAATGCATCCGCTCCAGCCTGGGAACGCGGCTGGTCTTTCGGCGTCTCGAAGACGCAGATCCCGAAGCAGGTGTCGAAGTCGACATCCACGAAGGTGCGTCCATCAAGAAGAGAATTGGTACGTCGAAGGATGATGCCAACACATTTGACACATTTGCTAACGCACAGGTAGCGAAACCCGTTCTGCGAATCATGCGTGAAAGCGAAGACGAGGCACTTCAGATCCAAGTCCGGTGCATTCCAACGCGAAGTCAAGACGTTCGGTGACTTGATCACTTTCGATCTGGTTGAAGGCGCAGGAGATGCCGAGAACAACGGCAAGTATGTCATGATCATTCGAGACATATACACGGGCATCATCATGGGCTATCAATTGGTCGCAAGAATACCGTGACGGTGATCGACAGCATCAAACGCTTTGCTGGTAGACGAAAGATCAAGCAAGTTTACTTGGAGGACGCACCGGAGTTCATCAATGTGTGTTCAGAACTGAAGATACCTCACGACTTATCGCTTGCGGGCAAGAAGCAGAACAATTCGCTTGCCGAATGCACGAACCAGTTCATCGTGGATCAAACCACTGCATGCCTTGTGCATGCTGGACTTCCAACATGCTATTGGATATATGCAGTCACTGCATTGTGCCACCTGATGAACGTCGAAGAGATTAATGGTTCGAGCGCATGGCTTCGATTGCATGGTGAAAATTTCAAGGGTGAGAATGGCGCATTGGTCGAATTCAAACCGAGCGATGCGAGAGGAGACGAAAGAGAGAAATTCGAACCGAAAGGGGATTGCTGGTTACAACCTGAGTTCTGGTCTTCACTGGACACGCAAATACCGAGCGTGGACTCTCACAAGCTTCGCCGGCGCTGACCTTTCCATTAGAAAGCCGAAAATTCCACTTCGACTACGCCAGCCACATCAGACCGAGAGGATTGTGTTGAAGATACCAGTATCTTTTTCCCCAGATAGCTGAAAGCTATAGGGGTTCTAACTTCTAATAAAGAGGGGAAAGTGATTTGCGAGATTGAGGGCCGGGTGCTAGGGGGCATGCAGTTTGAGGTGCTGGTGGATGCTGCTTTGCGAGCTTGACGGCCGGGTGCTAGGGGGCATGCAGTTTGAGGTGCTGGTGGATGCTGCTTTGCGAGATTGAGGGCCGGGTGCTAGGGGGCATGCAGTTTGAGGTGCTGGTGGATGCTGCTTTGCGAGCTTGACGGCCGGGTGCTAGGGGGCATGCAGTTTGGGGTGCTGGTGGATGCTGCTTTGCGAGCTTGACGGCCGGGTGCTAGGGGGCATGCAGTTTGAGGTGCTGGTGGATGCTGCTTTGCGAGCTTGAGGGCCGGGTGCTAGGGGGCATGCAGTTTGAGGTGCTGGTGGATGCTGCTTTGCGAGCTTGACGGCCGGGTGCTAGGGGGCATGCAGTTTG